CCAATTAAATCATTAACCTTTGTATTTGTTTTTTGTATGAATAATTCATGAATATATATATATATATTGAGAGAGAGAGAGGGGGGAGATAGAGAAAATTAATACGAGTAAAAGTTTTTTTTTGCTGAAAAATCTTTCAAAATAGTTTTTTTTTAGAGACAAGTAAATGTTCCCAACTATGGGTTAAATGGCAAGGTAAACTGGGCTTTCTAGCTGTGGTTGTCAACTAGCTTATGCGAAGGATTACTCTGAATTTAAGACCGTATTTAAGTTTGCTTAGCATAATTATATGTAAGTTCGTTTAGTATAATTGTAAAGCAAACCATGGGTTAGTCCAGTGGATGTTGAAAAAACACAAACAGGCCTGAGCAGATGGATATGATTGGAAAAGAGCAACTATGCTGAAGATTAGAAATTACACTGATTTACAGTGTACCTTCAAGTCGAAATAGTTCTGATGAAAAATAAATATTGCATTTGAAAACTTTATTTGCACCAAAATACATCCGACACTGGAATCAATCTTGATCATAATATGCTAACAGTAGCAAATTCTCATTTGCAAAAACGTATACGATACACGTAGCAAACTAGAACTAGAACTTTGTACTAATTAAAAGGTAAATTAAAGACAAAACTTATCATGATCACATGTCCCGTAACCCCTTTTTCGTCGGAGGTTCACCACATGTACTTTCTTAAAGGCGTGGGAGACGCTCAAAGTAGAGTCTTAACGTGTTATATGAATGTAAGCGGAAAAGAAAAACTCTATACGGATATACTGGATTGATAAGTAAATGTGTTAAATGCAGTGATTGCCTGACGGCGCCTATTCCTTTTCAGTCTGATTTTGAATTCAGAATTGTCCTTGGAATGGTAGTCCTACTAAGAAAGGATAGCCCGGTTTTGTCTGCATTTAACCCATAGCTGGTGGAAGATTGTGGCATGTTTTTTCCAAAATAATTTACGTACGAGTAATCCTATGTTCTTATCTCAATGCCGATGTATACGTATTGTCAAAAATAAAAAATATATATATATATATATATATATATATATATATATATATGCTTATATTGTTGTAACCTAGAAACCGTTATTGAATGAGGAATAGCCAAAACGAAGGTTGGAAATGTAATGATAATCTTTATAACATCAAAAAAATACAATACTCGCCAGCGGTGTGAAATAGGTAAACCACTGCTAATGGTGGACTACTGAGCCATCATATTATCCCCACTTGCAATAGTGTACAACGTATTTATAAAGATCGGTACATACCCATCATTGTTCATAGGTACGGTATATATATATATATATATATATATATATATATATATATATATATATATATAGAGAGAGAGAGAGAGAGAGAAATGAGAAAGAACAGATAGAATAAAATTCTACTGTTCGTAGCATTAATTTTAATTGATCAACTTTTTCAAATTACGAAAATAACGAAAATTATCAGATAATTCCCGTAACTTGTATAAATTAATCGACACAAAATATCTGTTGTCTTTAATAATATTTGTCTTAAAGAAAATTTGCTGCCTAAATACACAATTAGGTACCACCACTGATTCACTAAAAAATTAGCATATATTGATGAATAAAATTCCTCAAACCTAATAAAAAAAAACTTTTTATCGTCAAAATCTTTATGCTGCTATTAAGGGGAACGAATAAAGTATTTTTATTGTTAAATTATATTTTTTATCCTTTTTAGAACGTTCAAAATTTTGGTTAAAATCTTATTATTTATTTATTTATTTATTTATTTATTTGGGTGGCCAAAGATTAGTATAGGAAATTTTAGCGTCATTTTTGCGATGAAAAACACGTTGATTTGGAAATTCTTGCAAAAATCAAATATTTTTTTTACTTCTATTACCCCTACTTATTTAATTTTATGAAATTTAGAAAAATTAAATAATGTGCCATTTTATGTTTATGTTAAAAGCAAAAATCCTTGAAGAATATAAATTGTCCAGGACCCAGAGTTACAGTAAAATAAAATAAAAATACCATAAAATTAAAACATTATTTAATTAGAAAAATTTTAATTGGTTTTATGAAGAAGATATATTATGGACACTATTGTTTTAAGAAAAAAAATATCGATGAATAATGCATTTTTACAAGAATTGTTTTCATTTTTTTTTTTATATAATTTAGAATATTTTCCTAAGTTTTTAGATCACTTGGCAGTTAAAAATTATATAAGAAAGACGCCCACGTTATATTCTTCAAGTAATTTTTACAGATATGTCCACCGTAGAAAAACTTCCGACTGTCATTCAAGCTGTCAAGCTGTCAGTACCTAAAATAAACACCTAGTGCCGTCTTAAAAATGTATTTCTGCGATATTCTAAACTTAAAGTAAGCTATATGTGTTTCCAATCAGATTAGTTAAACTTTAAATCAGTTAATATTCCTGAAATAAAGTTTCAGTAATGTGTATTTTATTTTAGAAAGATGTTTTAATAAAGAAAATGAC